GGCTTTCCAAATACCAGTGTTATCAGACTTTTCCACCCCTCGGTCACAGTGCAAGGCATGTGGGATATTAGTTCCCTGACCAGGTATCAAACCTGTGCCCCCTGGAGTAGAAGCACAGTCCTAATCACTGGACCACTGAGGAAGTACCTCAAAAGCTTTTTAAAAAGGATCAGAAACTGTTCTAGAGTAAACGAAATTAAAGAGGTTACATTGCAAACACGATCCTTGAATGGATCTTGGGTTGAGAAAGCGAAAAGTTATGAAGGGTTATTACCGGAACAGCTGGGGACCTTGGTATGCAGATTGTGGTATTGTATTAGTATACATTTCTAATTGGGATCATTGTTTCATGGTTACGTGGGAGACTTGCATTCTTAGGAGACCCAGACTGAAACATGTAGAGATGAGAAATCATGATGTCTGTAGTTCAGCAGAATACACATAGGAATTTAGGTGAAAGGTGTGTTAGTGGTCACTGCTATCCTTGCAGCTTTCCTGTAGTTTTGAAATATTTCCAAGTAAAAAGTTGGGGGGGAGGGGATAGTGTGAATAGCATTCACATAAGTGTCTCCAGTTCTCCGAAAACTAGGATATCCGATAATAACCCATCAGACCAGTTTTCATATGTTAGAATTTGCCAAATCTTCACCACCACTGCAGTAATCCCTGGCATTTTTATTTTCCATGTGCCTCCACCATCTATTGTGTTACATTTATTGTCACAAATAGTCTGTACACATAAAGAAGTATGTGTCTCTAAGTACCACAATCACAATGAACTTTTAAAAAATGGCTCACCATATGCCAGGCACTGTTTTATGTGTTTCACACGAATGAGTGCATTCCATCCTTCTAGCCACTGGAAGGGGAGGTATTACTCATGGAGACAGAGTAAAGGGACAAAGCAAGTAATTAAAAAGTTAATCCCACTAGGGGACTGTAAGTAGAGAAAAAAGTATAGGAGACCCCTGTAAGTTAATGATCACTCAAGAAAGCAGGTTTGCTTAACTACAAAACCCAACAGGCTTGCTTAGCAACAGAACCATGCAACAGAAGCACAGTTTCATTACTGTCATTCTTAGTTTCAGAAAAGGAAACTGAGGCACAGAAAGGTGGGACAGTTTGCCCAAAGTCACACAGCCAGGGTCGGTGGAGGGACAGAGTGATGTGGCCTCAAGCCCTCCAGTGTTCGTCACCGTCCCCTTGACCACGCACTTTATTTACACTGTGAAATGTAATGGAGCTGTCATTCTAGAAGGATGGCTTCTGCTGCTCAAACTTTTACTTTTCTCTGAGGGGTTCTGGGTGTATGTTCATAGAGTAAAGGGTACTCCTTAAGAGAGGGAAAGATAGTAATAGCAACAACAAACTACCATCTTTGAAGGCTCATAGGCATTCAATGGGCCAGGCACAGGCAAGATGCTCTCTGCCGGTCTAGTCCTCAGAACCCCTTTGCGGCTGAAACTATTCTTATTCTCATTGAACAAAAAAAGAAAAGGTAAGCCCCGGCTTTGAAGGCAAGCAGACTTGCCCCAGGCCCCACCCAGGCTGCCTCGCCTCTCTACCTGTCATCTGAATGGGTCCGAAGGTAACTGAGCCCCATAGAATGTAGCCCGTGGGGTGATGGGCCTCACCCATCACCTTGTTCACCCCCTCAGTTCTAGGAGGGGGACATTTCAATGCTGAAGAGGAGGAGGAGTGGGAGAAGGAAGAAGAGGAAGAAAGCATTGTTTCCTTCCTCCTTGGGGCTTTTCATCTGGCTTGTGACATTCCATTCCCACCCCTCCTCTCATTTGCCATTTCATTGAGCAACTTGTTCTAATTGAATGCACCTGGGCAGAAACTCCTCCCCATATTGGCCCTGGTCAGTGCTTTGTCTCCCCCTCCACTTCTTTTATAAAAAATGAGGGGAGCCCCTGTTCCTTTAAGATGGAGGTGCTTGGTGAAGTTCCCAGGCAGATCAGCCAACCCTCCAGGAACTCCTCTGCCCTGGCCTGGCACTGAGCTCACCTGCCTCCATGGGGGACAGCCAGCCAGCATGTATCTGACCTTGGCCTGAGGTCCCAGATGATTCTGCTCTGGGCATGTCAATCCCAGTCAAGGGCGAGGCAGAGGTATCCTTCAAAATGCCCAGCTCACCAGGAGCCCCCTTCCCCAGGGTGTAGGCTCACTCCCAAGCTTCCAGGACTGGGTAGTTTCTGTGCCCCTTCCTCACTAAATCAACAACTAATAAATCAATTTGCCCTTATAGATCAGCACAAGAGGCAGTAGAATAAAGTAGTTAAGAGCATGGATTCTCCAGCCAGACTCACTAGATTGTATCTAGGCTCGACCATATTAGCTTTGTGACCTTGGGCAAATTATTTAGCCACTTTAAAGTACTGGTTTCCCTTTCTGTAAAATGGGGGGAAATAATAGTATACTTATGGGGAAAAAAAAATAATGACTTACTCTCTCATCAAAGATGCACCAGCTTCTTAACAGAACAGTCCTACTCAATAATTCTGAAAGTACAGAAACATCCAGGACAAAACTGGTTTTTGGTTATGTACTAACTTCAAAAGCTATGTTTTTAGTCCTCTGCCATGTACGCTTCAACATGTTTGCCTCCCCTTAACTTCATATCTAATTTTCATAATTTTAAATACACTGTTCTCTAACAAAAGAGTGCAATGCAATGATTAGTTAGCTCAAGAAACTTTTTGCTTGTATTTCTAAAGAAGAAGTAGAAGACTTACAAGATCAGAGAAGGTACATAGCCCACATTCACACTGATACAACAAGAACTCTTGAATTTAAAAATTTATACACATTACTAATAAACCACTTTTCATCTTGCCAGTTGGTAGTTTTTTTTTTTTAAGTAGATATCTAATGTTTGTTCATTAGTTTGGTTCAGCCTTTCAGCAGGGAAATTTGGTAATAAGAACTGTATCAAAAGCCTTAGAATGTTTCATAACTTCAGATTGAGAAATTTCACTTCTAGAAATTAATTCACTTCTAGAAATAATCATGAGTGTGCACAAAAATACTACCACAAAAATATTTTACAGTATTATTTCTAATAGGGAGGAACTAGAAACTACCTAAATTTCCAATAATACAGCTTTGGTGAAATACATTATGCTATATTCACTTAATGGTTTACTAGGTAGTTATTTTAAAAAGTTATAGAATATTTAATGAGATGGAAAAGTGCTGACAGTATACTTTTTCGTGGGAAAAAAACCAGCTTACAAAAAAGTTTGCAATAATGTCATTCTTAAAAATATGTTTATTCATAGAACAATTTTAGAAAAATAAACATTGTCATTTTAAAGAGTTATCTGGCCAGCTGATGCAAGGAGCCGACTCACTGGAAAAGACCCTAATGCTGGAAAGATTGAGGGCTGGAGGAGAAGGGGACAACAGAGGATGAGATGGTTGGATGGCATCACTGATTCATTGGACATGAATTTGAGCAAACTCTGGGAGATAGTGAAGGACAGGGAAGCCTGGCATGCTGCAGTCCATGGGGTCCCAAAGAGTTGGACACGACTTAGTGATTGAAGGACAAGAACAGTCTGGATGGTGAAACTGCCAGTACTTACTGTTTACTTTCTTGTGTGACATTGGTATTTTCTGTCTTCTACAGTGCATTGAATATTTCCATGGTATGCAAACAACAAAAAATATATAAAAAAGAACAATTCATTGGGACAATGCTTAGCGCAGGACTGATCTCTTTCTATAGTGTCATTTCTCTAGTAACTCACTTCCTAAGTGTCTCGCCTCCTTGGAGGACCCCAGGAGCGGCAGGGATCCCCATGGCCTCCTGCCATTTGGAGCATTACTGGAGGCTTGTGGTGTGTTTGCCTCCTGGTCACGCAGAATCCAGCTTTGGAGTCACTGCAAAGTCCCAAAGCTTGGGAGGTAAAAGTGGCTCCTGGAAGATTTGATAAAAATCTGAGCAAGAAACTCCTCCAGAAAGGAGCTAGTTTCTCCGCCCATCATTTCCTCACACGGAAACTAAGGCCAACGTCAGGGTTTGTCCAAGGCCACACAGCCGACTTAATGACAGACAAGGTGAGGCCTTGAATCCTTGACCCTTCTGCCCTGTTGTAGTTCTCAAGCTTGCGGATTTAGGACTGTCTCTTCTCACACTTTGATATGCACAGGAATCACCAGGGATCTTGTTAAAGGCAGATTTTGATCAAGTAGGTCAGGGGATGGGCCTGAGGTTCTGCTTTTCTGACCGGCTCTCAGGCGATGCAGATATTGCTGGTTCGGGGATCAGTTTAAGTAGCCATGGGGTAGAGCAGAGATTCTGGAGGAGGACCGTCGGCTTCCCAATCCTAGCTCTGCCGCAGACGAACTATTATAGTTACTGCTTCAGTTCTCTCAACTGCAAAATCAGTATAAGACCTCACCCACAGCTTCTTCATTAAAATTTTAATAAGTGCTCAGACCAGTCTCACCTAAGATCTAGCTATTTTGTTATTATTTACTTTCCCTAGAGCAAGCAGCGGGTGAAGTAGGGTTTGACGAATGAATGAATAAGCTTTGGGAGCGACTGGAGTCGGGAGAAGCAAAAATGGAAGGGCTCGGAGGTGGGGGGGAGGGGGCAGAGGCCCACCTCCAAAGCACACTCCTCTACCACGGGGTGGTCAGAAGGATCCGGAGCGCCCGGAAGCCGGCGGCCCGCGCCCAGCGGACCAATGCGGTCGCCCCGGGGGAGGGGGAGCGCCCGCCAGCCCTTTCCGTCCGGGCGCCGGAGGCCCCGCCCCCGGAACGTCGCGACGTCTGAGCATTCCACGGTTGCTACTCTGTCGCGAGGGGCGGGGCGCCTGTCAGGGGAGCGGCGCGCGCGCGGCGGCGGGGGCGGGCTGAGGCTCGGCCGCGCAGTGCCAGCGCCAGCGCCGGAGCCAGCGCCACAGTCTCGCGCCCCGCGCTCTCCGGCCCGCCGCCTGCGTTCTGGCTCCCGAGCCCGCACTCCCGCCCTGCCCGCGCGCTGCCCGAGGATGGAGCTGCTGTGCTGCGAGGGCACTCGGCACGCGCCCCGGGCCGGGCCGGACCCGCGGCTCCTAGGGGACCAGCGTGTCCTGCAGAGCTTGCTCCGCCTGGAGGAGCGCTACGTGCCCCGCGCCTCTTACTTCCAGTGTGTGCAGAGGGAGATCAAGCCGCACATGCGGAAGATGCTGGCGTACTGGATGCTGGAGGTACCGCCCGGGCGGGTCTCCCCTCCCCCGTCACCCCCGCGTCCCGGGCTCCGGACATCCCGGGGCCGCCCTGTCGGGACATCCTGGTCCTCAGCAACAATCAGCAAGATGTTTCTGTGGCGCAGATCGCCGGGGCCTGGACTTTTCACTCGCGCGCCCTTAGCCGGCTGCCTCCGTGCTTTTTCTTGCCCTTCTCTGACCCTGACCCTGACCGCCAGGCGTTTGGCACCCACAAATAACCCTGTCTTCGGGCCGGGAAAGCGGGGCGAGGGCCACCCTCTCCCCTCTGACTTCTCAAAAATCTCCCCCCACTCCACGCCCGGTCTTCTCGGGAGAGCGCGACTGGAAAACCCTGGGCTCGGCCGCCCCCGCCGCAGAGCCGGTTCCTCGTGTGTGTCGCGGGGGTTCTGGCGGGGAAGCCGGTGGGGGTGGCGCGCTGTTCCGGCCGTCAGGGAAATGAAAAGTGCGGGAGGCAGCCGCTGGAGTCTCCTCCCTTCCTTTTGGGTGTGTGCGCTGGGTGGCAGTAATGGGGGTAAGGTCCCAGTTCTCTGGCTCCTATGGGTGACTCTTCCGAACCCCTCACGCTCGGTATTCGGAGGGGGGGGCGGAATCAGCCTCAGTTTGGATTCCTGAAGGAAGGGAGCCTCTGGCGTATCCCGCTCCCCGCCCCCGCCCCCCCCCCCCCACCCCTGGGGAAAGGAGGCACCGCAGAGGAAGTGGGAGGGTGTCACCTTGGGGAAGGCGCATCCTGCGTGTTAGTCCTTGTCACTGCGAGCACACCTACCCCCTCCCGTGTCTTGCTCCCCATTCCACTTCCCTTCAGCGCACCGCACCCCCGACCCCCACGCCTTTAGTTGCTGCTGCGTTTCCTAAGCTTCTGCCCCCGAAGTGACTGTGCGCCCTCCCTCAGGTGTGTGAGGAGCAGCGCTGTGAAGAGGAAGTCTTCCCCCTGGCCATGAACTACCTGGATCGCTACCTGTCCTGCGTCCCCACCCGAAAGGCGCAGTTGCAGCTCCTGGGTGCGGTCTGCATGCTGCTGGCCTCCAAGCTGCGCGAGACGACGCCCCTGACCATCGAAAAACTGTGCATCTACACCGACCACTCTGTGTCTCCCCGCCAGCTGCGGGTGCGTGCATACCCTCCCCACCGCCCCAGCACCCCCTGCCTCCTTCCTCCCTTACCGGGAAGAGGAAAGCTAAGACCTCCGGAGGCTTCCTGCTCCTGGGCAGGGTAGCAGCTTTTTTTTTCTTTTGCAAAAGATGGGACAGTGTGGTGTGATGGTCAGGGTAGCCCCAGTTCAGGCTTCCCTGCCAGCATGAACCAGATCCCCTTGTCTTGACCTCCAGGGGGTGCCACTCCTTCCTGGTCTTTCCCCCAGATAGCAACAAGTCAAACTGCATGTCTACACTCACTAGTACTTTGCCTCTGGGTTTACACAGCCACCATGAGTTATTTATTGGCAGCAGCAGGACATGCCTGTGCACCCCCACTAGAGTGGGGGAGTGGAATGTGCTTCATGTGGGGGAAGGGGCCGCCCTGGTTGAGTCTTGTCTCCCAGTGTGTGGACTTTGTGATCAAAAAGCCTCCCAGAGCCGATTAAAGCCAGGCCCCAGCTGCTGTAAGGAAGGGCCGAGGAGTTCAACCCCACTTTGCTTCCTTCCTTCCTTTTATATCCCAGGAGAACCAGCTCCTTCCCTCATCCTCCATTCCCTAGTCTCACCCTGAGAAACTCTGCTCTCAGAAGCAGCTGCTTCAGGCCTGGTGGAATCATCTTTTCCCCTTTAGCCAAAGGCCAGTGCTGAGGCACAGACTGGGGCTGAACTGCAGCTGCTTCCGATGTGATAATGATGCCCTCTCCCCGGCCCACCCACCCTGACCAAGGTCTTTCATAATCCTGTGGGGAGCTGCTGTCACTCCTGTGGTTTGGGAAGTGGCTCCTTGGGCCTCTTGCTGGGAACTTGGGCTGGGCTCTTCCCGAGGCAGGGCAGGGGAGTCATGGTTCTCTTTCCCCACTGAGCCTGGAGAGGAGGTGGGGAGTTGCTTGGATCTGGAAGAGGTTATTTGGGGGCGTGCAGATCATCTCCTGGGGGACCCAGGGGAGAGGGGTGAGCTGGCACCTTCCTCCACCTTGCTCTACAGCGGTCGAGTCTTCTCTTGACCCGAGAGGCGTCTCTGGGCCCCATCTCCCGGGGAGGAGGGCAGCGTGCTGGCTGCTGTGATTGGCTGGCCAGGAAAGCCAGGGTACTGGGGCCCCTGAGTGCTGCTTGTCGGGGAACGGGATTCCTCTTCCTGCCAAGTAGCTCTCAGAGATGGGAGTAGGAGGCCAGAGTTGGGAATCTGGGAGGCTCCACAGCTCTTTGTGATGAATCTGGTAGTTTTGGGCAAGTCTGAAGGTGGAGCTGGTTTCCAGGGCTAGAGAGCAAGATGTTTCTGGAGGGGTTTGGGCTGGTGGAAGGGGACGTCCTTTTTGCGAAAAGATTAGCATGGGATGTGTGCCTTTATGTGAGGGCAGTTTTTCAGAACAGGCCAAAAGTCCTCTCCTCCCACTCCCCCTGCCTGAGCTGGGGGTGGAGCGCGCCGATCGATGACTTCCTAGAAGGTCAGAGTTGGAAGGGACATCAGAGACCAGTCAGTCCAAATAATCCTGTGCGACAGAGAAGGTGGGGGCCCAGAGGAGGAAGGAAGGGTCGTGGCTCAGTGTTGCACTGAGGGTGATGAGGTGTTCTAGGGCTCAGGTGGCCTAAGAGGTTAGGGATGGGATGGAAGCTGCCAGGGGTGTGTTCTCTATCAAGTGAGGACTGAGGTTCTCAGGGGCTGCCCAGATAGAGGGTAAGGTGGCCACTCTCCCCCGACGCAGGACCCTATGCCTCTCGACTCCGAGCTGCCTTTCAGATGGTTTCCTTGGATGCTGGATGCTTTTTGTTGCCTTCTGAGTTAGGAGTTTGACCCCTGGGACAAGCACGGGGAGTAGAATGCTAACTTCTCTGCCCAACTTCTTCTGGCTCCAGGCCAGGTTGATTTCTGTGAGGCTTTGCCAGACGCTGAAGATCATGACACTTAGGTGGGGGCCAGGAGAGGGGCAGCTGTGACAGGGGGCTGAAAAGAGATTGGGTGGGGTTGCCATTTCTACTCCACTAAGGGGTCAAACCCATGAGTTCCTTCCTGAGATAAAACAATGAAGAAATCCTCCTGTGTGCAACTCAGAAATGGGGCCAGGGCTGGGAACCCCAGAGGAGGGGATTGGGTGGGGCTCCCAGTGTCCTTCCAGGACCCAGCAGTAGCAGGGAGGCTGGGACCAATGGAGAGATGGTTTGGTCCCTCAGGGATCACCTGGACCCATCCTGTCTGCCTTGACCTCCACTTCTCCCCCTGAGACTCGAATGACACTAGGCCCTATGGGTTTCAGCCAGAGAGGTGGAATGGGTTTCTCTATTTCAGCCCCCCACCCCAGTGTCCTCCCAAGGGGATGTGGGTTGGGTTGGGCAACCTCCACTTTGAGGAACCTCGGGGCTGGCCCAGGGGCTGTGTCAGAGGAGGAAGGGCCTCATGCTCACCCCAGTTTCTTCAAGAGGTGTAGCATGGGCATGCTTAGTTGGGGAAGAGGCTAGCGATCTCCCCTTTCACAAATCCTTGGGATTATGGAGTCTTTCTGCTTCACACCAGAAAAGCCTCCAGTTCCTGGTGATGGTGGTCTGCAGACTTTGCTTTCAACCATGACTGGAGGCCTGCTCAGAGTCTCACAGGAAGTTGAGAGAAGGCCTGGACTGTTGTACCCCAAAAAGATAACCCAGCAGGATTAAAAGAGGCAATTTATGTAAAGCATGTAGTTCTGGCATCTAGGAAGTTGATCAATGGATGCTCAAAGCAAGTGCCCTTAGCACTTAGTCCCTGCCCTGGACTCCCCATTCCACAGTGCCAGTCCTGAAGTTCAAAAGCAGACCTGGAGTCTTGACCTTCAAGTGTGATGAGCTTGGCTCCCTGTGACACTTCCACTTTACTTCCTCCCCTTCCCTTCTTCAGCCACTGACCCCGCTCTCTTCCTCTGCCTCCAGGATTGGGAGGTGCTGGTCTTGGGGAAGCTCAAGTGGGACCTGGCCGCAGTGATTGCCCATGATTTCCTGGCCCTGATTCTGCACCGGCTTTCTCTGCCCCGCGACCGACAGGCCTTGGTCAAGAAGCACGCCCAGACCTTTTTGGCCCTCTGTGCTACAGGTAAAGAGTCCCACACACATGTGCCAAGCCAGGGAAATCAGAAGACTTGGAAAGGTGAGAGGGAACTAGAAGATTCGGTTTATAACCTCAAAATTTGAGAAAATTCTATCCTCCCTGAGCCCCCAATATCAATATGGAAAAGCAGCAGAGCTGTCTGGGACCTCAGACACACCACCGCCGCCCCCCACCCCCCGCCTGAGTATGTAGGTGGGGACACCAAGGGCTTAGAGAGAAGTGACTTGCCCAGGCTCTGTTAGTGACTAAGCTGGGAATAGAACCCAGGTCTCTTAACCTTGTGTCCATACCAGGGAGAGACCCATTCCCTCTCTGGTTCCTGGCCTGGATCACTTACTGCCCTGACCCTCTCCCCGGCTACTGTCTTACACCACTCACTGCTGGGGTGTCCCAGTATACCCATGCTCTATTCAGACAGGCTGGCACTTTCTAGGAATTAAAAGGTGCACGCTGGTATTCATCCTTGCCTCATGGTCCCTTCTCTTTCCTAGACTACACCTTTGCCATGTACCCGCCATCCATGATTGCCACAGGCAGCATCGGAGCTGCAGTGCAAGGCCTGGGTGCTTGCTCCACGTCTGCGGACGAGCTCACGGAGCTGCTGGCAGGGATCACAGGCACTGAAGTGGTGAGTGCTGGGCAGCTGGGCGAATGCCCTCTGCTCCCAAGGTAGCACTTTCCCCTGAGCTTCCAGCAGAGGGTGCTGTGGACCACCCCCCAACCTGGTCTCCACTCCAGGTTTCAAGTGCCCCACCTTTGCGGCTTCTGTGGTCTTTTATCTCCTGCCCTGGTCTGGAGAAGAGCAAGTGTTGCGGGTGGGCCAAAAGGCACTGCCCCTGAGTACCCTTTTCTTGCTAAGCAGTACGCAGGAGTGGGGGTGGGGGGTTCAGTGTCAGATGTCGGGCTGCTCTCACACCCTCTTGCCACATCCTCTTGCCAGTTTCTGAGAACTGAAGGCTGATTCCTGGGGTTGGGCTGTGGCCTAACCTCCCTAGACTTCCCTGTGTGCTGGGAGGTGTCCTTCTGTACCTGCTGCCAGATGCTGGGGGAGGGGGGGAGGCGGGGAGGCGGGGAGGCGGGGAGGCGGGGGGTGGGAAGCGGATCTTCCTCACCACTCCCCCTTGTCCCCAGGACTGCCTGCGGGCCTGTCAGGAGCAGATTGAAGCTGCCCTCAGGGAGAGCCTCAGGGAAGCCGCCCAGACCTCTCCCAGCCCAGCACCCAAAGCCCCCAGGGGCTCCAGCAGCCAGGGGCCCAGCCAGACCAGCACTCCCACAGACGTCACGGCCATCCACCTGTAGCCCTGGAGAGGCCCCCTCGAGTGGCTGCCGACAGCAGGAGGGGACCCTGCCACCCACCTCCCTGGCTGCAGGAATGGTATCATGCCACAGCTGAAGCCTGAGGGGGCTCCTTCCCCTTGCCCCTCGCCAGCCACAGGGGTCAGGTCCTACCTATCCCTGCAGCGTGCACTAACGGGCCTGGCCGGCCACGGCTGAGGGCCAGTCCGGCTCCTCCTCCCGCCTGCACCCAGCCAGCTCAGCTCTCCTGGGGGTGGGCTGGGCTGGCCAGAAATGACATTGAATTGTAACACATGTACCAGCATTCCTTTCCAGGGGCTCCCTTATCTCTGGGGCTCTCAACTGCCAAAATTGAACCTGAGCCCCTGGCAGAGAAAGCTCGGAGTCCTAACCACTGGACCGCCAGGGGATTCCCTAATTACTGCATTTGGATTGGGGTCTTTCTGAAGACGACTCAGATGTCCTAGACACGCGTGAGGGGCAAGAGTGGACATCCCCTCTCCGAGCACTTGGAGGCCCTGCATAATCCTATCTGCTCCTAGGGAGGGGCCCCTCCACCGTCCAGGGGCAGGAACCAACCTCCTCGCTTCGCTTTCTGCTCAGCTTCTCCTGTGTGATTGGGGGGAGGGGGGTGTCAGTGCGGAAGGAAGTTGTTTTAATTTATTAATTACTTTGAGTACAACTGTATGAGGGTGTGGTGGGGCCCTTCTCCCCCCGCTGCAGGGGGGGTAACCCTGGTGGTTGCTATATTCCTCTCCTCTGCTACTCGCTAGAGGATCTCGTGGCCAAGGAGCTGCTATGCCTGGGGTGGGGCCATGCCCTCCTCTCCCTTTGGCCCTCTGCCCCATCCCCCAGGAGTGGGGGGGCGTTGCGGAATGAAGCAGGGGATGACCTGGCCATGACCAAGCCCCCTGTCTGGAGAGGGAGGCAGGCCCTGTTAACACAGGTCTTTCCTGAGGCCACAAGGTCCAGGCTGGTGGCTGAGGACCATCATGCTACCTTTATAATAAAGATTCTGGAATAAAGCTGACTTTGGCTTTTGGATTAGAGGGCAGTCTGTGGGAAAGCCTATTTCTAGACTGCATGGAGTAAAAGAGGATAAAAATCAGTGTCTGGAGCAGAGGTCGTCACACCTTTTCTGTCTTAGGCCAGAGTAGATACTTCAGGCTTTGTGGGCCATTTGGTCTCTGTCTGTGATATCCTAAGTTGGGCTGTAGAACCTGATGTGCGCATTTCTAAAAATCACTGCACCATGCAAAACTGCACAATTAAAGCCACATGGCTTATGGGGGAAATGGGGCTTGAGACACAATACTCAAATATTTAATGAAGGACACTTCTTTTTTTAAAAAGATAGTGTTTTTACACATTAAATAGCTAAGAAACACACACTGCAATAAATATGGCCCTTTATCTTGAAAAACAAACACCTGAAGTTGGCTGTGGAAGTGGAGGTCGGAAGGATGTGGAAGGCAGGTTGTGACACCAGATGAGGGTGTGGCGCCAACCCACAAGGTGAGCTGGGGGCGTTGGCACAGGTCTGAGGTATATGCATTTTGTGTATCATCTGGCTTGGCTCAGTGGGGGTAGTTTTTTGCTTTCATCTAGCATCTCAAGACAAAATTGCATATAAATAAAATTTGCTTTACGACCAAATAGAGTAATTAGGTTGGAACAAACTCATATTTGCAAAAGCAAGTAACAGGGTTCTAGCCAGATGGCACTGGTCTCTGCTGCAGTGACAATGAAAGCAGAGAACATGGAAGTGGATGGGTGTGGCTGTGTCCCAATAAAACTTTATTTAGGGACACTGAAATTTAAATTTCAAATAATCTTCACCTATCACAAAATACTGTTGTTTCTTCTCTGCCTCCCCCAACAACCATTTAAGATGTAAAAATCACTTTTCTCTCATGGACTATAAGAAAACAGGCATACAAAACCCTGGTTTGCCAACCCCTGGTTGAAAGCTTTCATTGGCTAAGAAAGAAAGGGAACTGGTCTGGTGGTGACCCTGGGTCTGACCTTTCTCATCCTGAATTTCCACCTCCCTCTAGGTGCTTTCTTCTAGCTCTTCCAACCAATCTGAGACCTTCTCATGTTTGAACAACCTCCTGGTTGCTGGCATTCTCCCCAAGTAGCTTGTGTCAGGGGAAGGCAAAGGCTGTGCCCTCTAGAGGCTGGCAGGGTGGGTAGAGCCTAGAGAAGACTCGTAGAATAAGGTGGGGGAGGTGTGTGGCTCCCATGTAAATAGGTAAGAATCCACTGCTATGCATGAGAGGGAAGCAGTGCCCACCTCCAGCGAAGCAGTGCTTGCTTCCAGCGAAACAAGGAAAGCAAAGATCTCCATCCATCACATCAAAACACTGAGGTTCAATAAACACCTGCCTTTTGTCTTTATCCACCTCCCAGCGACCTGCCACAACAGCTGGAGAGAAAGGACCCATTCCGACCCTCGCTGGGACCTGGGAGTGCTGGGCTGTGGGACCTCAAGTCAGGTCCCAGAACTGAGCAGGGATGCAGGCCTAGTACACAAGAGGGAACCAGCCCTACTCAGGCCCCCCTATCGAGAACTGGGGAGTCAGAGGCCCGCGACCTGTCTTGGCCCTGATCCGGGTCTTCAGCTGCCAAGGCTCAGAATCACCTCCAGTCACCAGCAGGGATCCTGGAGTCCTTCCACGCTCCGCAGACCCGGACAAGCGCTGCGTCCTCACTCCATGGTGACGGGAACATCTTCTACATCTCGGGGGACGGCACTCTGCAACTCACGCCTGATCTCCGGGGACAGCTGCGGGTGGGGCTGCAGCCGGAGCAGTTCCAGTAGGGCCTCCTTCTGCTCCGCGGCCAGGTCGGCCTTGTAGCGCTGGACCAGGGTCAGGAGGCACTGGTGCCACAGCACGGGCAGCTCCCGCTTCTCCGTCCGGAAGCCCAGGAAGTGGAAGACCAGGGCGTCCAGCACTCGGTAGGGCAGCGCGTACTTCTTGTCCAGCAGCAGCCGCAGGAAGATGCTGTTGGCCCCGCTGTACTCCATCTCGGCGATTTTCAGCATGGCCGCACTAGTTGGGAAGGGAGGCAGGGAAACGCTGGGGGAAAGCTCCTCCTTACCCCCGTCCCGCGCCCCTAAGGGGGAATCTCTGCATTCTTCTCCCCTCCCCTAACTCCCTCGACCTGTTACCAGGGCCACGCTGACTCATGCCAAATCCCCACCTCTGGCTCAGGCTGCTTCTGTCTCAGAGTGTATCCAAATGTCTCCACCCCAACCTACTTTCTTCCCATGTTCCCCATCCTCTCATTCATTCAACTCTTTACTGAGAATGTGCCAGGCTCTGGGACCTTGTTCCCATGGGACTGACGCTCCTGTGGAGTTATCATATACCCATCGACTTAACTGAACTGCAAACCCAAGAGCTTATGCTTGACTCCTTCCCCCCACTGTGCTCCCATCCCACCCCAAGTCCTGGGACTCTGCTGTCTGAAGATGGGCCGATCTATGGCTCTGCACCCCCCAAGACTACCTGGAGTGCAGCACGGGGATGGAGCACTTGGTGATGATGCTGCCCACGATGATGGCTTCCCGGAGGGTACAGGTGCCCGACTCGCACAACGGGATCAGGATGCCTGGGGAGGGGCACAGAGGCACGGTCACTCGCAGTCCAGAGTGAGAGAAAGGAGGTAATGCAGGGGCTCTAGCCCCGCCTTTTCTTAATCGCCTCCTGGGTCCCCACCTTTAAACCAGGCTCCAGGCTTGAACAGGGCCTTCTTCAGGGCCATGTAGAGGTGGAAGTTGAGTCGTTTGTACTCAGCAATGTCATCTCGTACCCGGGGAAGCAGAACCAGGTTATAGAAGCGCTGGGCCATCCGTTCCTTTAGGTTAGAGGCGAAAATCCTAGTGGTTTTGGAAGGAAGGGGGACGATCCCAGGTTACTTGACAGAGCTGGCCCTTCAAATATCACTGTGGATGGTATTTGCATGCAAGAGATCGGATGATCCGCGGTGGGTGCGTGTAGCTCCCAGGTCAGATTAGAGAGGGAACAGGAGGGGCTGCAAGATGTACCTGAATGGGGTGAATGCTGTCCGTCTTCGGGCGAGCCAGAGCTCTGCAGACAGACAGGAACCAGCTGTTCACCTTCCCCTCTCTATCAGGGGTCCCCTGTATCCTGCTGTGACTAGGGACCTGCACACGCCTGGGGAGCCACAGACTTTTGAGGCCACCCTGACACCGCAGGGCTGTGTCCCCGTAGTTAGGAGCCTCTCCCCTAGAAACTCATCACAGGACGTTTTTAACAGGATCTTGGCCCCAGAACAGGAAACAGGAAAAGCTGGGGAAGTGATGCCATAAAGAAGCACAAGAGAGAGCTCTGGGAGGGAATGTAAAGACAGAGGGAGGGAAAGCCTGTTCTTTCCGCACCCGGCCCTTCCTACAGACCCAAGGCTGCCCCGACCCCCATCAGCCCTACCTCGTGGCCTGGTACATGGCAGCAGCGGTCCAGGCCTCAGGCTCTGTGACGTAGAGGATCTGCTCCCAGTTGGAGAGTGCAGGGATGATCTTAAAGGCCTTGGGCAGTTTCCCACTGCGGTACTTAGACAACACCTGGGCAGGAGAGAACAGAACCCTCATCGTCACTGATGTACACACTGCTTGTCAGGGCCCCATCTGAGTTCCTCGCGTCCATTAACTCACTTAATCCTCACAACCATCCTGTGACGAGGTTCTAGTATCATCCTCATTTTTCAGTGGGGAATTGAGACTAGAGTCATAAGCTGGGGAGCAGGACCCCTGAGCCCGCCCGCAGCTTATAAGAGATGTGGGCCCCGAGAGCCCTGGTGGGGGTGTCCGGTCATGGCTCTCCTCAGTCCTTACTTACCTCCCGAACCCCTCTGTAGACCTCTAGGACACGGGGGTCCAGCTGGGGCACAGGGAAGCCTGATACCTCGGACATGACCGTTTCGACTTCCGTCTGCTTCTCAGTTAACTTCTCCATGATGATGTCAGCCAGGGTGCGCCTGGGGGAACAGGAGGGAGGGAGGGGGCGGCAGGGCCGTGTTCTCAGTCTAGGAAGCTCTGGATGCCCCACGCCGTCTATCGAGAGCCCTCATAAACCTGCAACCTTGCTGGGATGCATGACTGAGGTCTACTCTGCTGGGCCTACCCCCCCAGCAGAGAATCCCTGCAGAGCACAAAGGACCCGGCAGTCATTCAGCTGAGGATGGAGCTGCATGGAGGGGAGGAATCTGGACTCTGAAGGCGACTGCTAGGTTCAGGTCGTGGCTCCTCTGCTCCCTGCGTGACCTTGGGCAGGCTACTCTGCCTCTCTAAGCCTCAGCTCCCTCCCCTATAAAACAGGGATGATAACATGCCTACCCGCATAAAGGTAACACATGGAGTAAAACCCTGCTCTGACCTCTTCAGAGTGCCAGACACACCTCAGTGATATACCTGTGATATATTTCTGGCAGCTGGGATCATTAGGGAGAGAGCACGGCATACCCTTTCCCCTGTTTCAATTTATTAAAATTGATGGGGAGAGGTCCAAGATGATGATCTGTTTATCCCAGCCTCCTTACACACAATCTGACTGTGATGATTCACAATTATCATCACATTGGGCTTCGGTACGATAAAGGCATCTTCAGGGGCTGCTGAAGTCTATTTAAAAACCACTCTGGAGGGCAGGACTTCCCAGATGTCCCCTTCCACCACAGCACTATAAAGCAATGTATGGCAGAAACCAGACATACCCTCGTACCATCTGTGCAACAGACATGGTAACCGATAGGCAGAGGGGTCAGGAACCCACCCATGGTCTCTCAGTTCTTGAGTGGGGGAAATAGTCAAAGCCTGTCTCTCAAGGTCTGAAGGTCAGGTACCTTACAGTATATACGTGCCCCCAAGCTCAGCAGCCTCTGACTGCTGAGTCCATGTGGGTCTAGCTGGCTGTCACCCCTCAAGACTGTCAGGAGCCCCTGTTCCTAGCAGTTTTTCTCTTCTGTTGAAAACCATCCTGGCAAGCTTGTCAGAATGAGCTGCCAAAGCAGAGTTACAGGTGCTGAGTGAGAGCCTTGAGAGCCTCTCTGGAGAGACCCGCACATATGCCGTGGTATCCCCCTCAGATCCTGGGCAGCAGGGCTGGGAAAACACTCAGGGCTTCACTGTGCCCTCAAATACACAGCTGCGGAACTTGCTGTCCAGCCCCTCTTGTCTTTTCATAGCAATGATAGCAATGATAACTAATATACTAATGATACTAGCATGCGTGAACTCACAAACAGCCTGAAGAACCAAGAACAGTGTCATGTTCACATCACAGCATCAGAATGAAGTGGTTGAGGGCCCTCATCGGAGATGCTTCTCTCCTGGGCCAAAACCCATGGCCTCTGGAGCCTGACCATAGGAGCTTAAAAACCTGCATGTTTTTGACCCAGCACTTACTGAAGATAAGAATAAATTAGTGGTTCTAATTTATTTGAATAAATTAGAACCACTAATTTATTATCTGGGGGATGATTCTGTCCCTTAGGGGACATCTGACAATGTCTGGTGACATTTCTGGTTCAGTGTCAGGGAGGGGGTCACTACTGGTATCCAGTGGGTACAGGTCAGGAATGTTGTTTAATAGCCTACACTGCACAGGACAGCCTCCACAGAAGAGAACCATCTAGCCCCAAATGCCAGTGGTGCAAGGGCTGGAAAACCCTGGATAAAATGACAGCTAGGGTATGAAAGAGATGTGGCCAAAGAAACCGAGCTTACTGCTAAGAAAACTGAGCATACCAAGACCAAATGCAATGGGACGGATTGCCCAGAGACAGAATAAGGCCTTGCAGCTATGTCACCAGGTAATCCAGGAAGTTCAAAGACAGGTGGACAGAGGGGGAGGAGCTATTTTGAGTCTGCATCATTCTCGTTCAGAGCAGTCCTCAGAGGATGTGCCACTTTTGTCAAGGTGGCTCCCCAAACTGGCAATGCTCAGGCCCTTCCCAGAGATGGGGACTCAAAACTCTGCCAGAACATACGCTTCTCTGCATCTCAAGTTTCTTTCCTACATAGCTGCTACCAGGACCTGCTCTCCCAAATCCCGGGCCATGCCAGCCCTACCTGGCAGGAGGGTTCTTGTTCATGAACATCTCAATGGCACGCTCGTCCTCAGGGTCCACGACCACCTCTGCCTGGTAGCCCGGCCCTGCCATTGTGGCAGCCTTCTCCAGGGTGGGCCACTCTTCATCATCTGATCCATCCTGCGGCACTCCTGGACCTGGAAGAGGGAGGTGAAATGGGTGAGCATGGCCAACCAGTGGGTGAGAAATTCAGAGGTCAACTCAACTTTAACCATTATGGATTATGGTCTGGGCCTCACACATGCTTGTAATAAATGCACACTACCTTCCAGTCCCCAGGGGCGTGCAGTCCTGCTTGAGAACCAAAATGTACATGTATGAACCAATGAGACAGTGATAGCAGGAAATGAGATCGAACACAGAAACTGTTACATAACATATATAACCACCATAACCATAAGGAGTAGGTACTATTATCACGCCCAGTTTCAGGTGGGGATGCTGAAGCACAGGAAAGTTGACTGACTTGCCTACCACAGGCAGTCTGGGTCTAGATTATACATTTACCACCTCTCTCTCACACACATGGTGGGGCTTGATTAGTGTCACAATGTATATCATTGTGACATGTGTATCACAATGCAGAGATGATGTATACCATAGGCACTCAGAAGAGATGATGGATGCTAAGGATGCCTAGGCTCTGGATGGGCAGTATGGGAGCTGGAGGAGTGTATTCTAGACCTGGGTACCACTGGCAGGAGGGCTTGTTGGGAAGCCCAAGAATGTCTGCTAGGAATTCTCTGGTGGTCTAGTGGTTTGGACTCCATGCTTTCACTGCAGGAAGCGAGAAATACAATCCATGCATGGCTGGGGAACCAAGATCCCACACGGCCTGAGGTGCAGCACACATACACACACAACCCCCAGAGATACTGTGTGATAAAAGCTAAATAAGGGGGGAGGGTTACACATACCAGATGTCCTGTCTCACATGCTAACAGCTCCCAGATCTGTACCTGTAGGGTTATGATCTCTCTTTGCTCCAGACCCTAACGCCAGCTGCCCCTTGTACAGCTTGTTCATGGATGACCCACAGGCACTTCAATTTTGGTCTGTCACTCCCTTTCCCTCCTAGGTCTACACTATTCACTGTGTTCCACATCTGAGTAAATGGAACCACAATCCAGTCAACACTAAGCCAGAACCTAGGCAGCAGGTCTGCCTTGTCCACTGCCCCCGACTCCCAACACCCAATCAACTACCAAGTCCTTTTCCACTGAACCTCACACAATCTCTCTCGAAGCTTTCACAGCCCTGTCAGAGCCAAGGTCAGTATCACCTCTTGTCTAGAGTAATTCCACAGTCCCCTAACTGGTCTTCTTAGTCTCTATTTGTTTCCCACTCTTCAGGGCAGCCACTGAGACTTTTGTAGCTTTTGCTCTTATCTACCTCACCATCATTCAGCAAACACTGAGAGTGTCTACCATATGTGAGGCACTGTTGTGGGTGCCAGCAAAAAAGAGGAAAACATTTTGCCCTTACAGAACTTACGTTCTCATGGTGGACACAGACAATGAACTAATACGATATACATTATGTTAAAAAAACACAAATGCCACGACCAAGAAACACAGCAGAGTAGAGAAGTTGTGAGTGTGGAGACAGGGGTGATGTGTTGCAATTTTTAATGGAATGGTCAGGAAAGGCCTCTCTGAGCAGGTGAAGAAATTAAGGGAGGAAATCAACAGGTGTATGAGGACAGAAGGACCTGCCAGGGTGAAGGCCCTAACTTGCCATGTTTAAGGAACAATGAAGCCTATGTGGATGGACTTGAGTTGATGATACCATCCAACCATCTCATCCTCTGTCGTCCCTTTCTCTTCCTGCCCTCAATCTTCCACAGCATCAGTCTTTTCCAGTGAGTCAGCTCTTCGCATCAGGTGGCCAAAGTATTGCAGCTTCAGCATCAGTCCTTCCGATGATGAATATTCAGGACTGATTTCCTTTAGAATTGACTAGTTTGATATGGATGGAAAGAAGAGGGCGGTGGGGGAAAGGAGTAGGAGAGGTCAGACTGACAACAGGTGCAGATCATACAGGTCTCCGTAGATGAGGTAATCCTCAAGTTGCTGAGCTGAGAGTACACTGTGGCAGATTCAGGATACTCAGTAAGAGGCTACTGCAATCATCCAGGTGAGAGATCACTGTGGTTTGAACAGGATGGTGTTCCATGATGGTGCCAAGTGATCGGATTCTGGATATATTTTAAAGGTAGAGTCAACAGGACTTCCTAATTGATTAGACATGGAGTGAGAAAGAGACAAGTCTGAGTTTTCTGTCTGGAGCAAATGGAAGGACATTGTGTCATTAATTGCGGTGAAGTGGATTGGGAGTGGAGCAGGTTTGGCAAGATGGTCAGGATTTCTGTTCTGGACATGCTAAATCTGAGATGTTTCTTAGACTTCAAATCAGAGAAGCTGAAGAGAGAGATGAAATATAAGAATTTGGGTTTCATGGAAGAGATCAAGGCTGGAATATGAACTTGGAAGCAGTTAACAAATAGATAGTATTTAAACCTTGAACCTGATAACAGCACCAGAGTAGTCATCAGAGGTGAAGAGAATAGCTCCAAGGATGGAACCCTATGGCACTACAATAAGAAGGTGGTGACAAAAGAGGAGTAAGCAGAGGGAGTTCCCTGGTGGCCTAGTGTAAGGATTCTGGGCTTTCACTGCTGGGGCTTAGGGTTCAATCAATGGTGGGGGAACTGAGATATCACCAGCCAGGCGTCGGGAGAAGGAGAATAGGAGCCAGCAAAGAATACTGAGAGGTTGCTTGAGTGTACTCAGTCGTGTCTGACTCTCTGTGACCCTGTGGACTTTTCCTGACTGTAGCTCACCAGGCTCCCCTGTCCATGGGATTCTCCAGGTGGGTTGCCATTTCCTTCTCCAGGGGATCTTCCTGACCCAGGGATCGAACCAGCATCTCTTGCATTGGCAGGTGGGTTCTTTACTACTGCACCACTTGGGAAGCCCACTGAGAGGTGAAAAACTAGTAAAACAGGGATGTGATGTCTTAGAAGCTGAGTACAGATACTGTAGCAAAGAGGCTAGTGTTTGTGAACACTGCTCACAGACAAATGAAAGATGAGAGTTGACAAAATAGATTAAGCAACTTGGAGGTCAACACTTTCAGCATAAAAACAAACAAACAAAAAATGACCATCTTTTAATTAATCTCTCTCCCTTTCTATTCCTTAAACAATATTGTTCTTTGTGCTCAGAGCACTCCCCACTTTTCAGTTCTCAGCACAAAGATCATGCAATCTAGGAAGCCTGACTCCCAAGACTAATGCTATTGTTATCAGAGGAACTATACTTTATCACAAGTGCATTATTCTAATTGCTTATTTAATTCCCCCTCTCTTGGGCGACATTGTAAGATCCTGTAGTCAAGTATACCTTTATCCTATTTACATTTTTTTACCTAAACCATCTAAACTCCTAGCACGGTGGGATGTGCGTAGTAGACATTCCATGATTACTTATAAAACATAAATAAATGCTAGGAGAACTTAGCGGCCTGAATAACCACTTCCTGTTGGCCTAACCTCGGGGATGCCTAAAAGAGTGCCACTCTAAGGAGTGGGCGTGGAGGGCTCCGGCAACCCTCAATCTGCCCCAGAGCTGGGTCTCCCACCCCATTACCTTTGCCAAGGCCCTCATTTTTTTTTTTTTTTTTAATTCTAAGCTAGTCCCCTGCCGGACACCTTTCAGCCGTCCGCCCCAGCTACCCACCCTCCTCCTCGTACCCCATCCCCGCCACTCACCCAGCCGCGTGGTGCGCTCCCGCGGCGGCGCGGGCCTGTCCCCGCTCCCATGCTCGGCCTCGAGCTCCTCTTGCTGCTGCCGCGCTTGCTGCAAAATCCGTCGGGTCAGCCGGGGCCCGACGTACTCTTCCTCTTCGTCTCCGGTTCCGCGACCCCGCCGTTTTTCTCGGGCTCCTGCCCGCACCGCCTCCCCAGCCAGGATCTGCTCGGCCAGCGGCGCATGCTTTTCCTGACCCCCGGCCCCGCGGGCCGCCTTGAACTTGGGCATTCTTCGCGAAAACCGGGCCGTAAAGTTTCCCACGTGGGTATGGAGAGAAAAAGCCCTGAGTGCGCTTGCGCAGTAAACACCCAGCATCCAAGAGCCGACCGGAGCTCACAGCGCCCCCTCGCGTCTGGAGGCCGGGTGTGCCAGAAGCCCCGTCCCACACCCCAAAAAGAGCTCACGGGTCCTGGAGCTGGGTCCTCCCGAATTTAACGTTGGCTTCTCTAAGTGGTTGTAGTCCGAGCTACACTTTCCTAGTTTCATGGATCTGGGGGTGGGGGGTGGGGGCGGAGTCGGACAGTGACGTCACCGAAGGACCTAGACACGCCCCCATTCCTCGCGAGCGCGTCGACTGGGCGCTGTGTTTTTACGTAAGTTCCGGAGCGCCTCCCTCCGTCGGAGCTCGCTTTAGCGAGGTGGTTTCGCCTCGTGTGGGCTGCTGGAGCACACTGCATTTCACTTGTTTGATCCTCCCATCCTCCTGGCCCGACACCATGGGAGTGACTTGGTAGGACTTCAGAGGACTTTTGGGGCGGGGTTTGGGGGCTTGAAGGCCCCTGGAGCCTCTAATATACCCGGGAGGAGGATCCCGACCAGGGTCCGCAGTCCCCCGGAAGATGAGCAAAATATCCTCGGATTGTGTGGGTGAGGGGGCCACCGTGAGGGCTGCAGAATCTGCAGGCCCTTTTCCTCGGAGATTCGCCCCTTCTTCCTGGAAGGCGGCAGGTAAAAGGGTTTAAGAATCCGTTAATGGTCGTGTACCTCTTTCCTTTTTTCTTGGTACAGTTTCTTGACCTTGAAGCCCGGGGTAGAACTTTAGGGTTGAAAGTAGGATGTCGGGACTCGGACCCGTCTGCAGGCAGGGCTTGGATGGGTAGGGGATAGGGAACAAGGAGATAGTATCTTTTTTAGGTTTTTGCCTGTCCCTCTCTACAGCCACTAAATGCAGTTAGATCAGCATGTGTCTGGTTCTAGTTTGGCCCTTGTAAGATCTTGAATCTGGAAGAAAAAAAGGAGCTGTGGGAATTAGGAGATAGGAATTCCAGGCACATCACCTCTTCAGGGCCTGTTTCCTATTCTGTCTAGTTACACGGTTGGTTTAGTTTCTGTGGACTTATTTCTAACATGTTATAAGTCAGTGTGGCAGGGAAAGGTATGGGCTTAATTCTCTTGGAGTCATTAGTTCCAAAATGCTAGATTTCAGGGCTTTAAAAAATATATGTGTTGAGCGTCTCTCCCAGAGAGGGCTTAGAGGCCAGGTTATCTGAAGACAGTGGCTTTAGGATTCTCATATAAGACCCTGTGGGATCTCCTGGTAGCCCAGGTCTTGCAGATTTGTCAGTGACTGCACATTTGCTTCCTGAAGTTGACATCATGAGCCTCGTTCAAAGTCCTGTAGTGTAAGAGGGATGGGAAGAATGGGAATGAAAAGTTTGCTAGGGTCTTTCATGGTAGTCCAGTGGTTAACACTCCACGCTTCCACTTCGGGAGGCACCTTCTACTTCAGGGGGCACGGGTTCAATCCCTGATTGGGGAATTAGATCCTGCGCAACCAAAAAAAAAAGTTTGCTGCAAAGAGGCATGAAACCCTGGAAATACCTGTTCTTTCAGGGCAGAAGGCAAGTGGGGAAAGGGTTCTCTGTTGCAATGCTTCTCAACTTTTTCAGGCTTCTAGGACTTCTGACTGCGGTAGCATCACCTTAGGGATTCTGTTATATTTCAGAATAAGGCACATCATCATCATTATTTGTTAGTGCTTTTTCTGGTGGAGATTAGTGGCAGTTTTAGTAACAGTAGGACTCTGTTGCTTCATTTAGTTGATTTTGGTTGATCATAAAGTAATGCCGTGTCCCCCAACATTCAGCCACATATGATTGTACTTAAGATTTTTAAATAGCCATGTCGCACTTGAACTATTATTTATTAATGTCTTGTTTTAATCCTCTTTCTTTTCCATAAAAGTATTTTAACAGACAACTGTATTCCTGGGGAAGCATTCTGGTAGAGTTAAGAGCACAGACATGGAGCCAGCTTGCCTGGCTTTGACTCTTGGCCACACCACACCAAGCTTTGTGACCTTGTGCGAGTTATTCAACCCCTGTGTACTTCACTTTCCTCATTGGTAACAAAGAGATAATTGTATATCTTATGGGGCTGATGTGAGGATTCAAAGAGTTAGTTCATTGAAAGGTCTTTAGGTAGTACCTGGCACATAGTTGGTCCTTGGTGATTGTTACCTGCCACTCTGTAAAGGGGGAGCCAGTTTCCCTCACCATAGAAGGAAATCTTGGAAATGACTTTTTGTTTTGTTGTTTTGGTTAAATTCGTGTACATGCTGTTGCCTTTCACTTCCAAGGATTAGAAACTTGAGGCTTGCTTTCTCTTTGCTCCCAGGATCCTTAAAACTTTCTGCCTTGATGGAAATGTTCTGTATTAGCACTGCTCCCAGCCATTTGCGGCTGTCAAGCCTTGAAATGTGGGTTTTGCAGCTGAGGAGTTGAGGTTTTAGTTTGTTTTATTCATTTAAGTGTAAACAGTCGCATGTGGCTTGTGGCTACTGTGCTGGACAGCTTGCATGCAAAGTGTTAAAGAGAGTAATAATAATTGGAATAATAATTCCAAGTTGAGGCTTTCTTCCTGATGTAGTCAAAACTGAAAGAAACGCAGAAGAAATCCCTTTCTCATCGTATGACTGTATTACTGAACGCTCAGCCTGTGTGCCACCTAAAATCTTCTCTGGGACGTTGGCATGCTTGCCACACTCAGTAAACGGAGGTGCTCTAGACAGGAAGTTCAAAGCACTGGTATGCGTCCTGAGACCTGCTCTGGTTCTTAGTGGCGTTCTCAGAGACTGTGGGCCTGTTTCCTTCTTTTTAAAATGAGAAGGTTCGGGTTAATGGTTGTCTATGCTCATTCAGGCCCTGATGAGCTATGATTCTGCAGGCTAGTGAATGACTCATTGATGATTTTGGTCCTTTTCCGTCCAGTGTGTCCCAGATGCCCGTGGCTGAGGGCAAGAGTGTCCAGCAGACTGTGGAGCTCCTCACCCGGAAATTGGAGATGCTTGGAGCAGAGAAACAAGGAACATTTTGTGTGGACTGTGAGACCTACCACACAGCTGCCTCTACCCTGGGCAGCCAAGGTCAGTGAGAGTTGGGCCTGTGGGATGGCTGGAACCTGTTTTGGAGTTAATAGACGTTCATGTTCATTGGAATCTTTCTGCTCTTCTGCTGAGGGTGGCGTTCTTGGATATGTGGTATATGTGTTTCAGAATTCATTAATTTTTCCCTTCATCTCTTAGTCTGGGCCTGTGTTGTAGTCTTTTTGTACTTTTAAAGCACTTCTCATTTCTCAAAGTGTTGATCACTAATTTTCTCAGAATCATCTGGGTTGCTTGTTAGAGGTGCAGATTCCTGGCCCAGCTTACAGACTCACTGGTAATCAGTCATAATCTATATTATAGTAAGTTTCACAGGTGATCTTTATGCACTCCAAAGTTTGAAAAAGTCTCCTTTTAAGCTCAGAAGCCTTTGTATATGATTCTGTTGGAGCTTTAGAGCTTGGGGAACTTTTCTGTAGAAAAGCTTCCTGTTTCCCACACCTAGCCAGTGGCCTTGGCTACCACCTTAGCATAACCTTGATAGATGAATTAACTTTTGTTTTAAATGTATTTCGAATTGAGATGTGTTGTGGCTGGTGGTGGTGGTGGTGGTAGGGAGGTAAAGAGGATCTCTGAATAGGAGTTAGGGAACCTGGGGTCTTTTAGTCTTGGCTCTTCGGTAACTTGACTTTGGACGGTTCCATAGCACAGTGAATAAGCCTAAACTGTGGAACCAGATAACAGAGTCCTGCCTGCCACAACTAGCTGCATCTTTAGGTAATTCTGCAGTTTGTGATTGTTCCTGTGCAGGTCACTTGCCTGTTTCCCCAGGGATTTATTCCCTGCCCTGCTCCTATGAACTACATTTGCCCGGCCCCCATTTAGTTCCCTTTGGCCAGTGAAAGGCACTGGCAAAAATTGGAGGGAGGAGGAAAAAGAGAAACAGCCTCTCTCCCTGTCCCTCTGCCTTGGGCTGTGTCTCTGGCTGTGACTGTGTTTCTTCCTCCTGTTAGGCAACTCTTGTTCCTGGCTTTCAGAAGAGCGCATCTGCCCTTTTTTCTTCTAGCCCTAGGGATGGTAGCAGCTCCCTGTGTTACTAATCTTTGGATGACCTCACCATTCCATTGGATTTTTCAGTTCTACCAACTCCTGTACGTCGTTCCCTGTATTAAGCCCCTTCTAAAGAAACTTACCTGTGTGGGCTCTGTTTTTGCACCCTTCCCAGTACAGTTGTCTGCAAAATGAAGATAATTCCAGTATTTATCTCCTAGTTAAATAAGGTAGTACACACAAAGCCCTTCGAACCAAGGTTGTCATGGAATAAATGCTAATAAATGGTAGGTTAAGAGCTGTACTGAATTTCACGATCACTGCAATTGCAATGTTAACATTTGTTTTGCCTGCAAAAGGCAGAATATAAGAATCAAAAGAGAGAACAGTTATGAAAGCATCTGGAAAACAGAACACTAGTGTACAGATATAAGATGACATACTACTTCTGTGACACTCCCTGGCTTGGGCTCTGTTTTCCTGATCAGACTTTTGCTTTCAAGGAGCTACAGTCTAGTTGGAGAAACAGCAGGTTCTCAGTGGGCAGTGGGGTAGGATGGAAGGAGTCAGGACACCTGGATTAGAGTTCCAGTTCTGTCGCTTACCGGCTCTGTGCCTTTAAATCAGAAGTTCTCACACTGTCTAGCTTTAGCATCACCTAGAGGGAAGGCTTGTTATCACACAGATGGATGGGTTCCCCTCTCCTCCCTACCCCCGCAGAGTTTCTGATCCAGTGGGTGTGGGGTGGGGTGGAGAATATACATTTCTAACAGATTCCCAGGTAGTGATGTGGGTGCTGGCTGGTTGGGGACCAAAAGCTTTTCAGAATTTTTTCAAGAGAGTAAAAACACTTCCAGACTCCTGTAATACAAATTAAGTATGTAAACACAGTGAATCTGCACAAGAACAGAATGACACATTGGCTTTGGATATCTTTATTGGAGGATTAAAATATTTGGAACTAGGCTTCCCAGGTGAAAGGTGTGAATATGCAGCGGGCAGTTGGGAGGATGTGGGGCGAGGTTGCTGTGGAGCCGATTGCGTTCAGGCAGTGGTAGCACAGTGGAGGCCTGCATAGAGGCCACATCGCCCACCACCTGTCTCTGCACCCATTCCATTGCTGCACTTTCATCCCTGCCTGAATCCTACCTTCTCTTTGTATCTTACTTCAGGTCCTATTTTTTCCATGAAGGTTCTTCCAACTGACCCTTGCCACTTTGACCACTTCCTTCCCTGAAGTCTTTCCTTTCCTCCAAAGACTGCTGGTCTGTCATCAGGCAGACACTTTGGTTTCATGGTCTTTTAAAAAAGTTTTCCACCTATCTTCAATGAAAGTGAAAGTCACTCAGTCATGTCTGACTCTTTGCAACCCCATGGACTATACAGTTCATGGAATTCTCCAGGCCGGAATACTGGAGTGGGGAGTTGTTCCTTTCTCCAGGTGATCTTCCCAGCCCAGGAATTGAACCCAGGTCTCCTGCATTGCAGGCAGATTCTTCACCAGCTGAGCCACAAGGGAAGTCCAAGAATACTGGAGTGGGTAGCCTATCCCTTCTCTATCGGATCTTCCCGATCCAGGAATTGAACAGGGGTCTCCTGCATTGCAGGCGGATTCTTTACCAACGGAGCTATCAGGGAAGGACAATGACAGTCTTCAGTGAGATTGTCAGCTTCTTGAGGCCAGGGGCTAAGTCCTCTACTTACATGCCTCTTCAGCCCTAGCACAGTGTTGGGGCTAGTTTAAGGACTTGGAAAACTCACTTCCCAGCGACTGGAACCGGTGAGCTGGGATTTAAAACTGGATCTTCTGATATAGATTCCAAGTTCTTTCTGCTACAGTTGTACTGCTTGCTTCCTAAGTCGGCTAGATGTCTTAAAATTCTCCAAAGGCCCCCTGTTGTCTTTAGGATGAAGTCTAAACTTGGGCACAGAAGACAAGGCTCTGGCCTCCCATCTAGCCTCGTGTTCAGATTCGCCCCTGTGCTGCTTCTGTGGGGCCATTTTCTCCGTTTCAAAGAGGGAGGAGGCCAAGGAAGGGAGTGATGGGCAAAGAAGAGAGCAGCTGCTTCGTGTGGTGTGCTCAAATGCTGTTACTTTTATTTTCCTTGTTATGTAATCTATGACTATACAGAAGACCATATGTAAATCTTATGTGAGTTATATTAATCATCATCGTTAATCATCCATCTGTGAGCCCATCACTCAACTTAAGAGTTAAACCAGGGACTTCCCTGGTGGTCCAGTGGTTAAGATTCTGTGCTTCTACTGCAGGGGGTGCAGGTTAGATCCCTGGCCAGGGAAATTCCACATGCTGTATGATGTGGCTAAAAGAAAAAAGAGCAAGAGAGAAGAAAATAGAAACTAAAAACCAAAATGCATAACAACCAGGATGCAAAAATGCAGGGTTGACTACAAATAATGAGGTGCAAAACTTACTCCCAACTATCAGAAATAAATATAAAAGCTGGGGGGAAAAAGTGAATTAAACCATTATCTGGACCGTCAAAAGTTCCAGTGTGCCCATCACCTTTTTCTGTAGATCGGGTGGGTTCTGCCACATGCTGCCTACTGCTGGTCCTCTCTGGAAAAGGCTGTTGGTGAGGCCCTTCTCTCCTCCGCCCTCCAGGACTGCTGGGGCGATGCTAGATTGTCTCCTGGCTCCGTTCAGCACTTTGGCCTCTACTCCGGGCTGTGCTGAGGAAGGTCTTGACGCTGAGCAGGATCTCCATCCCTTGCAGGTCAGGCCGGGAAGCTGATGTATGTGATGCACAATTCTGAGTACCCTTTGAGCTGCTTCGCCCTCTTTGAGAATGGCCCTTGCCTGGTTGCTGACACCAACTTTGACGTGCTCATGGTGAAACTCAAGGGCTTTTTCCAGAGTGCCAAGGCCAGCAAGATCGAGACCCGGGGCACCCGTTACCAGTACTGTGACTTCCTAGTGAAGGTGGGCACGGTCACAATGGGGCCCAGTGCCCGAGGCATCTCCGTGGAGGTAAGACCTCGGTGAACGAGAGCAGATGTGGTGAAGGGCCTGGCTCTGCAGATTCCCGCGACCCTGAATGCAGGCAGAGGAGTCTGCCTCCCTGATTCCTGTCTGCAGAGCAGCTGCGCTTCCTTACCCTGCATTTTTTATCCTTTCTTTAATCACTTAGGGACGCTCTAGGCCAGGATGGGAATGGGGAGCTGGATTCACAGCAGGTAGAAAGCTTAGGAAGGCTGGCTTGCTGGAGAAGAGGAGGGATGGTCAAGGAGGGGCAGGTGAACTATTACATGGAGGGACCACTCAAAAGTTTTGAAGCAAAGATGTGCCCTTCCCTTTGACATGCTGTCTGCTTTCTTTCATGGTATGTGTGATGATTTCATCTATGACATATATTGAAAATGACAAAGATGGAGTGTGACAGTAGCTGGCTTTGGGATCAGTGAGAGTCTTTACCATCTACCACAGTCCCAGCACTGTGTGAGATTGAAAAAAAAAAGAATAAACTACAGGGCCTTCCTTTTGAACATTTATGACTTAGTAAGAGAACCAGGCCCAAACATATGAGCTGTTTTTGAAGTTAGTCTGTAAGAAATGCCATAAAGGCAGCACAGATTGCTCTGGGAGTTCAGGGCAGAGAGCACTGCTGACTTAGACTGTGATACCTCCTGCAGGAGTGGCCTTTAAGGAGGGATTTAAAATGTGGAGACCTGGGGATAGGTAGGTCCTCAAAAGCAGCACAGGTGGAGAAAAGGGCGTTAGTGGTCATGACTACTGAGACACTCCAGGGACCTCTAGAGCTAAGATGTCCTGACTCTTTCAATTCATAACACACAGAGAATTTGCCAAGACCCACGGGGAACCCACTGTTTGTTTATCCTCCATGTTTTCTACTTTGTAACACAAATGCACCTGGCAGTTTCTTTACTTATTTCTCCTTGTAGTTGCCAGTAATTTCCCCTGCCATCTCTCCAGTGAAAAACTGGGAGAAGAGAATGAGCAAGCCTAAGATCTGTATCCTTCAGCCCCTGTCACATGAGTTGGGAAATTATTTCTTAGGGTCAGAGCCCAGGTTGTATCTACCTTGGGAGTAACGGTTGGTCTTGAAGTCACTTATGGGCCTATGTGGCTACTTTGCCCTCTTGTCAATTCCCCCAACTCACACACACTCACAGACTCTCCTGCTCTTTGTTTTCTCTCATAAATGTTCCCGAGCTGTCCATGAATCTACACCCATCATAGCTGGGACTATAAAGTTCAGAGATAATTTGAAGGGACCGAGCTATGCTTCTGGGTCTTGTGCGCAGGGCTGTGTGTTGATAATCCCAAGCTGAGAATGTTTGAGCTTAAAGTGTACAGTGCTAAGGGTTTCCAGTTCCTGGTGTTTGAGCTGGATGTTTCCTGCGGGGCAGTTGTGGGTTGGAAGGTGTGTGTCGTGGTCTCCGGGTTGGGGAAGATGGATGCAGAGGGCAGACGACCTGTCCTTGCCCTCACTCACCCTCCATCCCCCTACTCTTCGTCCCCAGGTGGAGTATGGCCCCTGTGTGGTAGCTAGCGACTGCTGGAGCCTGTTGCTGGAGTTCCTGCAGAGCTTTCTGGGCAGTCACACGCCAGGGGCGCCCGCAGTGTTCGGGAACAGACACGATGCGGTCTACAGCCCAGCGGACACCATGGTCCAGTACATGGAACTCTTCAACAAGATCCGCAAGCAGCAGCAGGTGCCGGTGGCGGGGATTCGTTAGCGACTGGCAGCTGCTGGGCTGAGCTCTTATCACCGGGGGGCAGGGGGGAGGGCGGGAGTGTCACAGAAGGAGCAGGCGCTGCACCCTCAGGCCTCAGGACCCTGGAAATCCTGGGCAGACGGGAAGGTGTCCCTCCCTGTCTAGTTCCCAGCTGTGGCTTTTGTTCTGGGGCTCTGGACTCCCCTCCACTGACCCTCACACACAGTCCCTCCTGCGCCTTCCCCGCCACAGCTGTTTCAGGCCCCGCCTTGCTGGGCTTGGCCTGTCCTCAGGAACAGTGATTATCCAGAGCGGAGACGTCTGGAGCTCTCCTGCTTTAGGGGAAAAGGTCGGATGGGGGTCCTGCTGAGTGTCGGTGGAAGGCAGTCTGTGTCACCAGCTCCTGAGGATTTGGTCCAGGTCCACAGTGAACTATGTTGCATTTGGGCTGCGCTCAGAGGATGTGGCTGGGCCTTTCCTGGGGAAGGAGCAGGAGGCCAAGCTTATTTGATGGCTGTCATTTTCTGACCTGTTTGCTGAGGTAAATCGTGAGTTCAGTTTTCTAGGGTGTTGCCTGAGTCCTCTGAAGTCTCCCGTCTGGCCATCTTTCCCTTCTGTGGTGAATGATACTAAAGCACAGGCTAAGCGGCTATAAGGAGAACCTAAAGTACAGAGGCTCTTAGGAGTTTATTTTTCTCTTCTCTAATAGTACAGAGGGAATTAGATAGTCCAGAGCAGACTTTAACTCCACAAGGTCATCAGGAACTTGGTTTCCTTTGAGCCTGCTGTTCAGCCACCCCTGGGGCGTTGTCCTTGGGCGGCTCAGAGCATCATCAGCTACATGTCCAGTTCCCCTGGGGGAAGAGAGAGAGAACAGTTTTCTTTTATAAAGGCCATGACCTGGAGTTGCTCCAGTCACTCTGGCTACACCTGGCTGAGAGGAGCTCTGGGACAGAGAGCCTCTTATTTGGGTGGTCATGTGCCCAGTTAAAATGCCGGGGGTTCTGTGACTGAAAGGTGAAGGAGAAAATGGCTGTGGGGGCCCAGTTAGTAGCCTCTGCTCCAGGGAGCTCAATGGACATGCCCAAGACTGTGCTTGCTATTTTGCAAAGAGCAGCCTGTAAGTAAGCCATTTGTTTCTGAGTTGGATTGGAATGGGGCTGATGTCAGAATGCCTTAGCTGGATTATTCACATGGGGACGTCACTTCTGTACCCCTTGAGTCAGTCTCAGCATCAAGACCTCTCCAGTTCTCGTGCGCCCAGAGCTCGGGGTTAAACGGTTGACCTGAGGCTCACACTGCGCTTCGTGGTGTCCTGAACTCTTACTCCTCGTCTCATGTGAGCCTCCAAGCTGCTCATTTGACCTCCATCGCCTGCCCACCGCCCTCCTGCTACAGAGATGTTCAGTCCAGCTAACACTGAGGTCACAGTCAGAGTTGGTCTTAGGAAACGAGTTCATGTATGTACTGTGGGTTGTCCTAGGATCTGTCTCTCATCGAAAACACATAAAGAGAAATCGTTTTCAGATCTAAGTATTCAGATCTAAGTCTCTGTGACAAGAATCTGTAACTCAGATCTAAGCCTCTGTAACAAGGTAGTGGTCACGTTTCCCTTTTAACTTTGGCTGGCAGGAAGCTTAGTTCAACTTTCTAACTGTAGACTCTGTCATCCGTATTTTTGTTCTCACCTTCCTTTGGCTTTGTTTGTTTCTTTGTGTTTTTTTTTTTTACATTTTAAAATGGAGATATGTTTTAGATATTAATTTATACATAATAAAGTACATAGATTTTTTTTAATGTTTTTGGTCTTCTGATTTATATTGGCTCTTGTCCAGACTTACCTGTTTGTATTTTGCTGTAGACTGTTTTAAACCTTCTATGAGATAAGATAGCATTTTGAGCATAATGTGTTCCTGAAAATAAACAGAAATCGAATGTGGTAAATATGACTCTAGATTTATGCATTATAAGGAGGGATTCCTATTACTGACTCCCTCACTGTGTCTTTTAGATACAATCTTGGCTCATAAATTTCCAGAAAGTCTTCACTTTTGTTCTTTTCCCTTATTTTGAGCACAAATTTGACCAGATTTAAGTCCAGTGAACACCAGATCAATCTGTAAGAGTTACCACCTCACATACTTTTGTCCGTCTTTGTCCTTTGTGTCAGTTAAAGCTTATTACTAAAAAAAAAAAAGGCTAGTAATGCAGTACATTTCTTAATCTAACTCCACTAGCAAAGTTGCCAAAACTGAACTGGGAAAGGCCCAAATGTCATCCACCTTCTGTATGTAGGTCTGAATGGGACTTTCAAGAGTTAGCTTAGTATTATTGGCATATAATTTTTGAAAGATGAGGTTGAGTGAAAGTTGAGGAGCTTTTGTATAAAGGGAAAGGGGGCATGGTTAGCCTTATTTTAACAATAAAAAAAACTTGCACTCAGCTAGAAAGCGGGCATGCAGTATTTTGGGTTCAAGTCTGACATTCCTCCTCCTACACTAGACTGCCTTCTTGTCCCTCCCTCCTTTTTTCCCAGATGTCTTACCCCCTCATCATCTTTGAGTGAGTGAGTGAAGTCGCTCAGTTGTGTCTGACTCTTTGCAACCCCATGGACTGTAGTCTACCAGGCTCTTTCGTCCATGGGATTTTCCAGGCAAGAATACTGGAGTGGGTTGCCATTTCCTTCTCCAGGAGATCTTCCTAACCCAGGGATCGAACCGGGGTCTCCCGCATTGTAGTCAGACTCTTTACTGTCTGAACCACCAGGGAAGTCCAAGCTAACCCCAAAAGAGCAGAAACCAGGACGTTTCTAGGATCCTGCTAACATGTCACCTTGGTGGGTACCTTTTCCAGTCACAGAGAAATCCACTAACCTGCTGGAGCCATGCAGGGCAGCATTAAGATTTACCTGGTTCTCCTTCACTGTAAGATGGGGGGATCATGCTGAGAGGTGAGGCTGGAGTCAGGACCAAACTTCAGGCTCAGGACTCATGGCTCCCAGCATGTGTCAAAGACTGGCAGCTGGACCTCTGTGGGGCCAGGTGATTTTAGGTGGAATATGGGATCCATTTTTATTTTAATACTTATGCTTTATTCTAATATATATTAGAAATATAACTGGCACTTTTGCCTTATATGATGAGGATAAATAAGTTTTTTAAGAAGAGTCTTCTTAAAGGGAACTGTTAAGTTATACGACAGGTGATACCTACAAGTGGCAGAATCTGGAGGAGGAAGGTGGATGCTCGACTTTGGGGAAACGCTGTGGTCTCTTGTGTGCCGTCCGCTGTGTCCCTTGATGGTCCCTACCCTTTGCTCCTGTGCGCTTCTGATTCTCTGTCCCCCTGTTGCCATGCTGCCTCCTGCTTGCTTGCTTTTCTTTTGGTCTTGAAAGACCAAGTCATCCCATGTCCCCCCACTGTGTCTGAGTGTCACTGCGTCACTGAAGGAATACCCAGGGATTGATCACTCCTTCCCACCGCCAGGTCTGCCCTAGCCCACTGTGTCCAGTGTTCATTCCTGAGGCTTCAGGATGAGAGGGGTAGTGAGAAATTTTCTCCCCAAATCCTAGAAGGTGAGGGGAGTGGTTAGAAATTCCCACCTAAGTGTGTCCTCCAGGTGTCAAAGTGAAGTCGCTCAGTCGTGTCCGATTCTTTGTGACCCTGTGGACTGTAGCCTACCAGGCTCCTCCGTCCATGGGATTCTCCAGGCAAGAATACTGGAGTGGGTTACCATTTCCTTCTCCAAAAGTTAAGACTTAAAACTCCCCCCCAAGGTGAGTTTCTGCCATTGTGTGGAGTGATCCAAAATCAGTCTCTTGGGTTACAAGGGACCCTTGAAGTCACACAGTTTGACCATCATTCAGTACCTGTAACTTTATACCATCCCTCCCAGCAATCATGAAGCCTTGACTTGACCTCATCTAGGGAAGTCTCTTCCGTGTGTATTTCACTTTTGTCACTACCTCTGAGACAAAAATCAAAACCTACCCGATCTTTCCCTCCCAGGTTGTGGACACCGTTTGGTACTTAATGAGGAAACTGACCATTAGTTGGTGCTGGAGTATGAGCGGACTATGGTTCTAGCTCTCTTGTAGGTTCTCAACCCCTCAGGGAGCCTCAGGAAGCCTAAGGTGTCTTGAAAGTGGACATAGCTTTGTGGAGAAGTGCAGTTCTCTGGGAATAGGATTTGTAGGGTTCATTAAAGTATCTCAAAGAGCTGTGATCAAAAAAAAAAAAAAGAATCTCTGCAGGGAGAACATCCTGAAAGGAAAGAACAGGAAGGCGAAGATAAAGCAGGTGTGAGATACATCCAGCTGGCTTACCACACGAGACCTTCCCCTGCCTTTCCGACCTTCATCTCGGGTCCACCCCCTTCAGGGTTTTCCCTCCTCCATTTTTTATAGTCCTTCAGGCCTTTCAGTTGGTTTCTGGGAAGTTGCACCGTGTCCCTGCTCTTTTCTCACCTGTAGGTTCCTGCTTCTCTTTTCTCTATGTACACACGACCTCTTAGAAGTGAGTAGGAGGAATTATGTCAGGAGCATCTTTATAGCCCACTTTGTGGCCCAGGAGTTACTCTTCCATGTGACTCAGCCCATGGGGTCTGAAGATTACCCTGTTGTAATGGCATCTGGCTTCATGAGCATATTTTCATTTTTCAGGATGGTGTGATAGATGAGGCGAGAAATAGTTCATCGCCTCTGAAATGAAATTAGTGAGTTGAAAAGATTCTTGGAACTCTCAGGGCAAAGATCCCTAATTCTCTTGTGGTTTCTGTTTTATTTACCAATATAGCCCTGCTCTGTCGGATGGCACAGACCTGTTTTTCAAGGTTAATATGAATTCTACTGAGTTTTCTTTGGAGGCTTTAAAAAAGAATTTAGGGGCTGCGTTGGTATATTCTAGATTGTATAAAGGCAGAATTCAGTATTGAACATCTTCTGTCATGTGGGAAAGGCAAGGCTAGAGATGTGGAGGTGATAGGACAGATGTTCCGAGCAGCCTCCTAAAGGGAAGAGAACACAGCTTTAGGAGACAGATGGCTGCGTGCTTGCCACAGTATTGTCCCTAACCTGCCAGGTAACTTCAGTCACTTTGGCCTTTCTGGGTCTCATCTGTAGTGGGAGTGATGATGCCCTTTGTATTTCATAGGCTTGTTGAGAGGCTCAGGGGAGAAGAGGTATGAGAGTGCCTTGTAGGTAAGTGATGCTGCCTCTGCTCTTGCATCTTTTTAATGGCACTAAAGGGACTGTGTGTGGTTAGGATGTTGAAGACGGGAAGCTACGGGTCCATTACTATTTGGTAGCAGATTAAAATTCTGCTCCAATGCAAAGGAAATAGTTGTAATAGAGAGCGAGTGATGTGGGGAGAGGGTCTGGAGAAAGCGTCCATCATACAGGTGTGTTTTTGTAACCAGATCAGTGAGCATATTTGTAGGGACTGTGATTTTTACTCATAGGGTTGAGATGTTCACTTGTTCTCCTACAACCTAAAGGAAAAGAAGATGAACTGACACCAAAAAAAGGCAGGGGGTAGAAATTACTATATCTTCTTTATGCAATACATCCATTCCTGTTTCTCCTCAGTTCCCAAGTCTTAGTTGTGCCTGCTTCTGAACTGTTTTTGATATGGATGTATGTGGTGGCTTTACTTGCAGCCAATGGTGTCTAAGTTCAGTGTTCCTGATTGTGTTTTCCATTCCTCATTGATGAACCACCTAAGCTGTTAACTCTGAAGCTATAATAAAACCTTTTTGTTAGCTATCCTACATAAGCTTTTCCTATTTTAATTATCTAAAATAGCCTTTTTATTCTTTCTGCTTCCATCTGATGCACAATTCTCAAACCTGTTGGTATCAGGATTCCTTGATGCTCTTAAAAATTAACTGATTGCCCCAAAGAGCCTTAGTGTGGGTTGTATCATTGATACTTAATTAAAACTTATTTATAATGAAAAAATGATTAATTAAATGATTAATTAAAACATTTATAATGAAAAAGTATTAATTCATTTAAAGGTAACAATAAACCCATCACATGTTAACATAAAATATTTTAATGAAAAGCAACTTTTTTCCAAAAAAATTTAGGATGGCATTGTTTTATATTTTTGCAAATCTCTTAAATATCTGGCGTAGGAGAAGACAATGGATCCTAGTGTCTGCTTCTTTAGTCAGTCTGTTGAAATTTGTTATTCAGTGTTGAAGAATGTGAAGAAATCCAACCTCACACATTCTGGAGCTTCCCAGGTGGCTCAGGGATAAAGAGTCCACCTGCCGAGCGGGAGATGCAGGAGCTGCAGGTTCAAACCGTGGGTCAGGAAGATCCCCTGGAGAAGGAAAGGGCAACCTGCTCCAGTATTTTTGCCTGAGAAATCTCATGGACAGGGGGAGCTGGAGGGCTACAGTCCATGGGGTCACAAAAAGTCGGACATAGTGACTAAACCACCACCACCACCACAGTGATACTGTCTTCCAGTAATTGGGGATGTTCTTTGATGCTCCATCACAACTCTGCTAAAGGTTAGTTGCAAAGAGGAATCTCAAATTCTATCAGTGAGCTATCTGTACTCTGTTATATTGCATTGATTAGTTTATTTTTGCACTGTGAAGGGCTCTTTTAACCATACACGATTTTGTAGCATGCATTGGTCATTTGGAAAATACTGCAGATCTTTTAAATGTTGACACATTTCATTATACAATATCAAAAAATCATATTTGTTAATATCACCATCAGTCTCAACAGAAAAGTCTTGGGAAGCTATTAAGCTCACAGTGGTGGATATATTTTCAAAAATCCTAAGTTTTGCTTGAGAGCTTGAGTTTGATCATTACTAACAAATGCTGTCGGGCTCAATTTGTTTATTTCTGAGGAAATATCTGTCAGATACCCAAGGCTGAATGACTGTTAGCTGTTTTTCCAAGTGAAAATGATATTGCATGAATTGCTAATTCAGCTCAAAATTCAGAGAAGTTGAACAAGTGCTTTTCCTCAAGAGAAACATTATAAGGCACCAAAGTGCTTTATGTCTCTATCTACTTAATCACATATAACAGCATTATTGAAAAAATATGTTCTTATATAAAACAAAATTTTTATTTTAGTGTTTCATCAAGCACTTCCTTAAAGTGACACAGGTATAATTCTTTTTTCCTGTGACTGGATGGCAGTGAAGACTGCGTTGACTGCTAGTACAATTTAGTGCCAGTTCCTCGATTTGTGTTATGGAAGCAGCAATTTTACCCATTGTTATTTTTGTATCATTAGCGCAGATGTCATCACAGTGACAAAGGCAAGTAGTATCTTACTACTATGAAAACAGTTTTGATTTCAGGGATCCTCCTGAAAGTCTTTGGGTCACCAGGGCTCCACAGGCCACACTTTGAGAACCACTGGTCTAATACATACAGTACTGAGAATTGCTTTTTTTGCAAGTACCCCTTCCTTCAGAAGTCTCAAGTGACTCCAAAATCCTTCATTCAAAAAAGCACCTATAAATGTGTCAGAAACTTTATTAGAGAAATAACACTGAATAAAATATGATCTTTATTCTCCAGAAATTTTCTTGAGGAGTTGGGGAGCAGGAGGAGAAAATAGATAATTGAGGAGTTAAAATGTAAGATACGAATTCCTTAAAATTATGTTAAAGGTGTTGGCAAGGGGAGTGCTAAATTTTAAGTCTTCATTTGCAGGCTTCCCAGGTGACTAGGTGCAGGAAATGGAGGTTTGATCCGTGGGTGAAGAAGATCCCCTGGAGGAGGAAATGGCAACCCACTCCAGTATTCTTGCCTGAAAAATCCCATAGACAGAGGAGCTTGGAGGGTTACAGTCCATGGGGTGGCCAAGAGTCACACACTGAACAGGAACACTGAGCTCTTGAACCGCATGGCAAATCCTCATCAAATCAATTAATCAATCACTAGGTCTTATCGCTTCATCAGAAGATTTTATTTATTTATTTTTTCCATCAGAGGTTTTTAAAGTGTTTAAGTTAGTTACGTTTGGAAATTTCAGAGTTGACTCCAGGCGTTGTAGATTCCTGCTTACACATGCACATGCCCTTCCCCCTTCTTATTTTGTTTATTGTTCTTTGGCTTCTGTTGCTTCTCTATTTCATATTTACATGTGTGTAGCTTTGAGCCAGTGTCGGTTGTAAGAAATATGTTTCTTTTCCTTGACCTTGTATTTAAACGTAAGCCTTTTATCTGTTTCAGCCTTGCAGTCGGGTGATGTAACAGTGTTGGTCTTATTTGGAGGAACTCCCCGCCTTCCCCCAAACTATGTCAGGACAATGCACCAAGAGGCTACTCGGGAAGGAAACTTTTTCTGAGGCTGAGAAGATTTGTAGAAATAGTCGCAGTTCTGTTTCCGTGGGGTCTCCACCCCCACCTTCTGCTGAACTTCTTCAGTTTACAGCAGCAGCGAACCACTTCCTTAGGGGAATTTCCATAAAAAGGCGGAATCCCGACTGGGTCATCAGTGGCAAAAGTCAGACACTTGCTCACTCGCCTGGGAACCAATAGTAACTTCTTCAAAAGCTGCCTCCGGAAACCCCACAGTTCGGAAGCTACATCTTTCGGACACCGTAAAAACATAGTCTTATTTTTAACAGAACAAAACAAAAACCTAGACGGTATAATGAGGAAGGCTTTCCCGCTTGGCAGTGGGAAGAGATGTTAAAGACGCTCCATCCAAAAGGAGTGCGGGGAACTCCCGCAAGATTCCTTTACTGTTCCGCAGGCTGATGGGCTGTGGAGAAGGGGGTGGAGATGGGCTCTTGTGAGTCTCTGGTCCTTTAAGGAGGAGGGACGGCCGTGAGACTCTGTACCTTTAAGAGTCTCTTTGTCTGGAAACCTCCTTATTTACCCTCCTGTGCTTCAACCAAACTTCGACCCGCGATTCACAACGCCCCTCTACGCCGCCGCCCCTTACGCCAGGCTCAAGTCGGCCGCGCGTTGGTGGCTAACCCTAAACTTGGCGGCCGCCGCGCGAACCCCCGGGGGAGGATGTCTGTGCCGGGTCGGGGCCCTGCGCTGCGCCGTTGGCGCAATGCGGGGCCCGGGGGGCGGGGCTCCGGCGGGCGGGCCAATGGGCGGGAAGGGGGCGGGGCCGCGTTCGGTTGTCTCGCGCCGTGGTGACAGCTCGCGCGTGCTGATGATGGCGGTAAATAAGAGGGGGGTCGGGGGAGGGGGCGGAGGAGGTGGGGCGGCCGCAAAGGGGGTAGCTCCAGGGGGTGGGGGGACGGGAACCGGGGAGGACGCGACGGCCAGGGATCCCATTCGGAGACTCGGAGGCGGGGACAGGAGTCTCCGGCACACTGGCCCTCCCCTTTAAAGAAGCAAAATCCTCACACACCGGGTGAGGGGCGACAAAGGCGGCGCGCGGCTAGCGGGCGGGAGGAGTGGCGGCAGGGGGCGGGACCGCGGCGCAGGCGGGCTGGGGGCGCCCGGGGCGGGGACCCGCGGGAGGCGAGAGCCGGCTGTCCTGGCGCGCCGGCCCTTTATTTTGGCGGGGTGGGCGGCCGCTGGGTTTGGGGTAAAAGCCTGGAGGGGAGAAGGGAAGGCAGGCTTGGGGGGCGTTTCGGGGGAACGGATCTGAGAATGAGATGAGGAGGATTAAGGGGAGAAGGGGGTAGAAGTCAGGGAGAGAAGGAGTGAGCAAAAGCCAGCCAAGGAGGTGGGAAGGAGGCAAAGCCCAGGCTGGGTGATAAGGAATCCGGGCCGGGAATGAGGTTAGGAGGACCGAGCCCGGGAAGAGGGCTCCCCGGGTTAGGTGTGAGAGCAGGGTTCTGGAGGGGAAAGCTTGGTAGGGGATGGTAGTGGGCCGAGGGTTACAGGGGTAAGAGTTGGAAGTGGAAGGCAAGGAGGGACAGAGCTGGGGGAGTAGTTGGGAGTAGAGGGGAGAGAGTGATTAAGAGCCAGACGTGACAAGGGTGTGAACTAGTGCAGAGCGAGATGAGCTGAACGACTAGGACCGACGATGGGTGGGAACTGCGAGGTTCTGAGAAAGGTATGGGTTAGTGGATGGGCAGTGGGTGTGAATTCTTGAAAGTGAGGAAGAGGGGAATTAAACACTGAACTAGTAACCAGGTGCAGTTAGGAATAAGTGTGGCCGAATTGGAAGGGTGAAAAGCAATGGATATGAGAGATGGGGCGTTTGTAGAACAATTCGGGAGCCAGAGAAGCTGAAAGGAGAAGAGAGTGAGGGTGTGAGAAGTGATGGCGGTCTGGGACAGGGTAACTGGGGAATTGTGTTAATCGCCTAGGTTCAGCAAGATCCAAGGTCCAGACAGTGAGGTAAAGAGACAAGGCTGAAAGCAGAGGGTGAGAGGAGCAAGGAAGAAATGGACCCCAGGATTTAAAGGATGAGATGGGGAGTGAGGGAAGAGAACAGGGTTAAGGGAAGCTTGGGGAGGCCTGATGGATTTCAGCCTGAGGGAGACTGCACAGGGGTAGGGATCAAGTGTGCAGTTGAGGGAGAGGCTCCAGAAGGTCTGCATGGGTCAGGGCACAGACGCTGTAGTGAAGGATCAAGAGTAGGGAGCCTTTGGTGCAGAAGAGGAGGAACCATGGTGAGTGAAAAGAGACCTAGAGATAGGGGCAAAAACTAAAAAGTAGCAGTGGAGGTGGGGGATGCAGGAAAGGAATTCTTTGTTGAGAAGAGAACTGTTAGTGTATTGAAAGTGTGAGTCCTTTTGTCCATGAAAGTAGGAAATTCCAGAAACCTCTTTCTCTCTTCAAGGAATCTTGAATCTGCTTCCACCTTTCATGGTTTTTTAAATTGACTTTTCATGTCCACTTTGAAAGGATGAGACCCATTTTGATTTTGTTCTTGTATGAATGATGAAGTGTCAACTGGGTGCTGAGAAGCTCTGCCTTTTACTGGTGTTGCGATCATAGGAAACTGGGTTGTATTTCCAGTGTGGTTGTGCCTATATGGTGTGACAGTGTTGTGCTGTAGCAGTGTGGTACCTGACAAGCGCGAGGCAGTGCTCTCTCGACAGCATTTTTATTTTCAGTGGAGAGCACCCTGTTGTTGAGATGAATAAAAATGAAAATCTTTTTATTTTGTTTAATCACCCAAATTTCTGCCTACTTGTTTTTGATGGCTGGAGAATATTGAAATCATTTCAGAGAAAGGCAAATAGCCAACCAGGGGAGTTTGTAGGGGAAGGGATTTAAATCAGGGTACTGAGGGTTTTAGATGCCTTTAGCTTTGTGTGTGACTTTTTATACTGTAGTAGAGAACTCACCCATTTGACAAAAATGGAAGAAAGAAAGGGAGATTTAGAATAGTAGAGGATTTTACAGTGGGGTTTATCTTTCAGTTAGATAATGGGTTTATGAGTAATTTTTATCGTGACCTCTAAGATGATGCGTGCTGGAGCCTTGGACAGCTCCACCGCCTCTCCTGTTTTGTAGTTGTGAATAAAAAATTAATATTTTTCTAGAATAAGTTTTTGATATTTAAGACACTTTTGGGAATTTAAAGGAAGACAAGAAGTTTGGGACAAAATTTAGGTTATTCTTAACCAAGTATTTTGTTTTGATGATTTTTAATCCTGAAGCTTTTACATTTAGCTAAGAATATGAACAATTATTACTTTGCATTTGATGGTACCAAAGGATAGCATATAATTTACTCAAGAAAAAAACCACAAACTGTTCTTGAGACTCTTATATGAGGTTATTTCATTGGTATACATTCAGATACACAAATATGCTTTTTCAAAGTTGTGTAAATTTTGGATTGCCACTGTTTTCTGGGTATTTGGATAAATAGCAAAGATCACCTTTATGGCATCTGTGATAGTTAGGGAAGATTAGATTTTGATTAGTGGACATCAGAAACATTGGTTATTAATGTAGGTGAGTAATTTAGAATATTAAATTAAATTTCTGGATTCATCTGTTGTGTTCATGGATTCCAGATTCTGTGGAGCAGGTGTTCAAAGTGACTAGATTGGTTTAGCAGTTTAACAGGATTTTTAAAAATTACTATTTTTCCTGCTCAGTTTTAAGAGGATTAGTCTGAAATGTTAACTTTCAAACTGCAGAGTAACTTTGGTATGAGGCACCTGTTTCTATGAAATGTGCATGTGTTCCCTTCCTTTCTAGATGTGTTTGGCAGTGCTAGTAGGTTGTATTTTGTGTGTGGTATTGCCATTTTTATAATATAATTGTTTTGTACTTGATGTCTTAATATAAATTATTTTAGACTTACTTGGTAATGAGGAAGAAGAAAATATAAACCACAAGATAAACCAAAGGACAGTCCATTTGGGCCTTAGCTGTTGTTTCTGTATGCTGCTCTAGTGTGTTAAATCTCCACTTCTCACTGTAAATGGTTATTTCTCAGTTGATATTTCTCTTTTAGTACAAATAATACTATTTGTCAGTAAGGAATTCAGTGATAAATTTAAGTTTTATTTCCATTTTTTCATCAAGCAGAATTCTACTCAGTTTATTTTGGCTACAATCTGATTTGCTAAGCCGAAAACTTTAAAGTTTATTTATTCAATCACTAGGTTGTATATAATTAAATGTTTTTCTGGTTAATCGTAGATTCTTTGGATGGGAAGAGACCTTGAAAGGACCTCTAGTTTATCCTGCAACTTCAGTCAATATCCCACTTAAATCATCCCAGGTAGATAAAAATTTATCCTCTTTGTGTAAATCTTCAGAGGTAATGTGGCAACCTTTGTAGGTAATAGTTTCCAGCATTTAATTATTTTCTCTAATAGGACAGTCTGTAATCTATCCAGAATACAGAACAAATGCAGAACAAAATTACAGTATTTGTGCTTGTTCTCTCTTGCCCCATTCTTGATACTATAGTAAGCAGATATTTATACTCGAAAATCAAGATGACCTTAGTTCTTCGTAAACTCAGTAATAGTAGCTCCACATGTATAGTGCTTTTGTGCTAGGCACTGTTGTAAGCTCTTTGCAGACTGTAACTCATTTACTCCTTCCAGTAGTCCTGTGAGGGTGGCACTGCTACTGTTCCCATTTTACGTGTAATGAAATACAAGGTCCTTGAGATTAAATGACTTGCCCAAGGTTATATTCAGACATTTCCACAGCTACTTGTTTGATGGTTGATAATCTTGTAGTACAAATTATACTGTGTGTTTTTTTTTAAATCAGGTAATAACTAAAGGAAAGATTTAATCTTTTGGTTCATAAGGCAGGGTGAGGTGGAGATAGGGTTTGAACCTTGGCATTTTATGGGCAGTCTACTTTAGTATTACCTCTGCTTGACTGTTGTGAAGTGATCCAACCATGCTCTTCAGATTATTTTATCCCTAACCAGTGTTGTTTGCCAGTCCTTAAGTTAGCCCTATGATTCTGTTATTAACCATTTCTCAGTTCCTTCCTAGATGGGGAACTTGGGACAGACACCATAAGGGCTGTGTTTGATGCAAAGATTGCATCAGGGTTCCTACATGGTTGTATATTTTTCCTTACAAAATTGTATTTTTAAAACAAAACAAATCCAAATCAATAAGATGCCTAATTGTATTTCAGATTGATTGTTGTCAACTTTTTCAGCTAGAAAGAGGCCCTTCGCTTTTCCTCAGTGGGTAACAGTCTCTCATCTGCAGACCTGTATGGTATATAACAAGTTCACACAGGTTTGTACATGAGATTGTTCGCCCACTGAGGAAAAAATGGAGCTCAGGTTTCAGTGTGGATATCTATCCATAAATAAAATCTGTTCAGATTCTTGCTGATTTTTTTTCCTGTATTCCCTTTGTATGTGCCTATGCAAGCAACATGCTAAATACATTTATGCACGCTTTTTGTTGTTTAGTCACTGAATTGTGTCCGACTCTGCGACCCCATGGACTGTAGCCCACCAGGCTCCCCTGTCCATGGGATTTTCTAAGCAAGAATAATGGAGTGGGTTGCCATTTCCTACTCCAATGCGTGCTTTAATTTGCTTGAATAATTGATCCCCTCTTTTTTTTGTTTTTTTAGAACAGTTTTAGGTTCACAGTAAAATTGAAGGGAAAGTAGAGAGATTTCCCTGCCCCTACACCTGCATGACCTCCCCCCATTATCAATATCCCTCACCAAAGTGGTTTCTTACAATTGATATTTTAAAAAATAAGTAATAATTTTTTATTGTTAGTGTTTCCTAAGTACCCAGCATGAGTTAAGTATGTGAATTGTTTGAAACTCAAAACAACATTAGGAGAAAGCTTCTTTGTGGGGATTTTACTCAATTTTTTTTGTGACTTTGGATTTTTTTACAGTTTCCAAATTTTATAGAAGAGTTGCAAAAATGATACAGGAAGTTTATATACACCTTTCTTCAAATCCAGGAATTGTTTTATTTTGCCCCGTTTGTTTTATCATTTTCTCTCATTTGCGTATTTTTTTTATTTTATGTTGGGGTATAGCCAATTAACAGTGTTGTGATAGTTTCAGGTGAACAGTAAGAGGGACTCAGCCACACATATCCTCCCTTGTGTATTTTTAAAGAAGTAAGTCTGAAAGAAAAATGGATATGAAGGCCTTAATCTTAAAAAGAAAAGGGAAGAATGGTTTCAGTATATCAGCAAGTTGGTATGTGTTTGATTTCAGTC